TGCTTTCTGCTCTAGTCCCTCCCCAGGCCTTAAGTGGCTTGGGGGTGATGGCCTACAGAAGCCCTTTTCCCCACCCCTGCCCTACTCTCATTCTGCTCCTGCACCCTCCCTTGCTCCTTCACCAAGCCAGGCACCCTGCCCTCAGCCCGCTCCTGCACCCTTTCTTCTGGTTGGACTCTGTACCCAACTTTGCTCCTGCATCTTCCCTCCTGGCCACACACTGCACCCTCTCTTGCTTCTGCCCCCTCTCCCCAGCCAGATACCCTACTCCCAGCCTGCCCCTGCAACCTAACTCCCATCCAGACCCTGCACCCTCACTTCCTCCTCTACCCCACCTCCTGCCCAGATTCTGTTCTCCCATCCCACACACTGGCAGCCCTATTTTTTCCCCACCCCAGAGCCCGGGGGTGGGGGGGTGTCCACAAAATCCACTAACCCCATAACCCCCAAAAAAGTTAATCTGGCCTATTGGAAACCCTCAACCTCAGTCTTCCCTGTCCCTCCCCCACCCCCCATGGGCCTGGAGCACCAGAGGAGTGAGGTGTCTCAGTTGGGGGTCACATTAGTGAGGGTCAGGTGTCTTTGTGCATTTGTTTTTTCTTCCCTAAGTGCAGCATCTTACATTTGTCTTTGCTGAACGTCATTTTGTTGTCTATAGCCCAGTTCTTCAGTGTATCAAGATCCATCTCAATTTTAGCTCTGTCCTCCAAAGAATTGGTATCCCCTCCTTGATTTGTGTCATTTGTAAACTTGATCAGTATGGTCTCTCTACTTACATCCAGGTCTTTATGAAAGATGTTTACTACTCCGGACCCAGACTGGATCTCTGTGAAACCCCCAGTTATGAATCCACGTAATGGTAGTTTAGTTGAGCCCACATTTCCCCAGCTAATTTACCAGAATGTCATGTGAGAGTATGTCTACACTACCCCGCTAATTAGAACTAGCGGGGTAATGTAGGCATACTGCACTTACAAATGAAGCCCGGGATTTGAATTTCCCGGGCTTCATTTGCATAAGCGGGGCGGCGCCATTTTTAAAACCCCGCACGTTCGAACCCCGTGCAGCGCGGCTACACGGGGCACGAACTAGGTAGTTCGAACTAGGCTTCCTAGTTCGAACTACCGTTAACTTACCAGAATGTCATGTGAGACTGTCAAAAGCCTTGCTGAAGTCCACCTATATTATACCCATTGCATTCCTTCTAACCACCACATCAGTTACCCTGTCAAAGAGGGAAGTCAAGCTGATTTTGCATGATTATTTGTTCTTGGTAAGTCTGCGCTGGTTGCTAGTAATTGCCCCTTCATCTTCCAGGCATTCGTAAATTGAATATTTATACATCGATATCTAGGAAGCTACTAGAGCAAAGTCAGGCTGACTGGTCCACAGTTCCCTGACTGCTACTTCCCTCCTTTTTAAAGCTGGGGCCTATACATTAGCCCTTTTTCAGCACTCTGGGACCTCTCCTTTCATCCATGGGTTTGTAAATATTGCCACTGACACCAAGATTTCGTCAGATAATCCTTTCATTCCTTTCATCCACGGGTTCGTAAATATTGCCAGCGGCACCAAGATTTCGTCAGATAATCCTTTCAGTACCCTTGTGTGAATAGCTCTTAGCCTCGCTGATTTGAATTCATACAGATTTGACAGAAGATCTGATGTGTTCTTTGCTTATCCTGGTCTGTGTCCTGTCTAAGGTGACTTCGCTAGTGATCTGGTCATGTTATTTTTTGAGAAAAGACTGAAGTGATGGAGGCATTGAGCAGCTCTGCCTTCCTATCATTTTCTATCAGCTCACCTCCTCCAATTAGCCACGGACCCACATTATCCTTAAATTTGCATTTATACCTGCTCAGTGGAAGGGAGGGGGAGGAATGAACAGATGCATTTGGGTACTTTCCCCAAACAGTATGGTACAAAAATAACTGAATAGCATGAATGAATGCATTTGCATGCTTCTTAAAATGTTGCATAATAGTCTAGCGGTTTGGTTTCGTAACTTGTGCAATAAAAGGCAATACATACGGTTCTGTTTTGTTGCATAAGATAGAGAGGGGAGGAAAATATTGTGTACATAAATTTCAGAGGAGTTTAATGGAGTTTTGCACATTTACATCAGCACAGAGAATTTGAATCAAGGATGCCCTTCTATTGAAATTCACCCTGCCAATATGAATTATGGAGGGTGGCACTTCTATGAGTGATAATTGGGATGCACTGTTTGAACATGGTAGCAGGGGCACTGACCCAGCACTTAAGCGCACGTCTAACTTTAAGGATATGAGTTGTTCGTGATTTCCTCCCCACTCACAAGGGGTAAATGGAAATGATGGGACAATTTATGCTCTTTAAAGCCGGGCTGGTTTGCGAGAGAATTGCAGCCTTTATTTCTTGCTGGAGAAATTTTGTCTTGATTCCTAATCAGACAGTTATAAATAAACTCTAAAATTATCCGGATGTTCCCTGAGACGTTCAGATAATCAGAGAACAGAACCATAGAATCATAGGGCTGGAAGAGACCTCAAGAGGTCATTGAGTCTGGCCCCCAAACTTTGATCCTTTCCTCAATTTTGGATTTGGGCCATGAAGGCAAATTTTGGGTGACTCAACATTCTCAAATTGATACTTGGATCATCAGGAATAACTTGTAGTAGATTCCATTCTGCCTCAGAAGTCTAAGGGAATCTATCAGGATTTTAGAATTTACATGGCTTTTGTTTACTTTTCTTCTCCATTTCATTATTTTGTTACTGTATTATTTTTATGTGTTGCCCCAGTTATAGTAATAGCATGTGCTTTTATATATTGTTAGCTCTTAAAATAAAAAAAAACTAGCCTTGAATGTATAACTAAAAAGTCACTTATATAAAATGATAAATGGCAGCACATAAATCTTTCTTACAATAGATAAGCAGCCACAGTTGTTTGCTTTGTAGGTTTAATGGAAATCTTGGCGTATGATAAATGCTGAAATGAGGTGTAAATCATAGTTAAATTTCAGTGACTGACAAATACAGCATAGCCAATGCTTTATTTTACTTGACTGTGGGGGGGAAAAAAACAGAAGTGGATTTTTCTTTTCCAGTTTTATGTACGGAGAACTGACGGATAAGAAGACCATTGACAAAGTCAGACAGACTTTTGACAACTATGAGTCAAACTGCTTTGAAATTCTTCTATACAAGAAAAACAGTACGTATAAAATTGTATACAGCTTTTGAACACTGATAGTACTTTAAAAAAATGAATAATTGATCAACACCAATTTTTCTTGAAACATTAGTATGGGAGTTTGGAGAAAGATTTTTAAAAGTCACAAGCGATTTTTGGGTGACTTGTATTTGAATGGGCAGCGAGAAAGCCCTTTAAAGGGTCTGGTTTTCAGAGAGTGGGTTCTCCGCACTTTTTGAAAGTCTGGTCCCTTTAAAATGTCTCAGGTGAGCACTGCAGAAACACAACTCATTTTGAAACTTTTTGGGTAAATGAAGGGGGAATACAACTAGGTACCTTGGTAGGAAACACTGTGCAAGGTGCTTCATGCAGATCAGAGAATTTCCCTCAATTGTGACCTGGAACACTCGTGACTCAGGTGTTTGAGAAGGTCCTGCCAATGGTACTTGCTTATTTGATGGCTCTGTGAGGCATAAAAGCCACCCAGTCAGATCTTGGATGAGACCACCAAACTTAAGACCCAGTCAAGAATTACTACAAGGTTATTGAAAGGCAGAGGGCTATGTAGTTACTCAACCATGTGAATATTCTTTCCTTTGGCTGGCCTCCGTGTTCCAGAGCCTCATCCAATAGTTGGGTCATATGTCACCCAATAACGTCTGTCTCTCTCTGGTAACTATGAATAGAGGATTTCAGATAGTGCTACTTCCTGAGATTATACCTGCTAAGACTCTCTGAAATGGTATGTGTGTTCTTTATACTTTAATTCCAGTTTCCCTTTTTAGGAGAAATCATCCCATCCTTTGTCTTGTGCTCACTTAAGCAATTACAAGTGATCCTAAGTTTCCCCAAATTCCCAAAGTATGTTAGCAAACTTTTCCATTAAAAGAGGAACACTTCCAAGTACTGCTGTAGATGTTTGGACATGTCTTGTGAATGATGCCCAGTCTGGTCTTTGGGATATGGTCATGTCTGTGCCTTTGCTTTCTTGCTGCTCTGCTTTTTTGTCCGTGTAGTCTGCCTGATTGCTCCCACATTTTAGGAAAATTGTTGGTCACAGGATGGCCCCGCGGGATTCAGCCCGTCCTTTGCTATTGGGTTATCTTATTAAAAATAAGTTGAAGTGGCAGTTCCTGGTTAGTAGTTGTCAGTCTTTCATTGAATTCCTTTCCCTTCTATTTTTAAATAGAAAAAATAAAAGCTTTCCCCTGATCCCTTTTCCATAGCAGGCCAACGGCTTTTGCTTAGAAAAGAATATTGCTTGCTTGAGTAGATTGCCTCTCAATAAATCTCTGCAACACAGTTTCCTCATTAAAACCTTCAGCTGTACCCAGATTTCCAGCTCTTCTGTCTCTAGCTTTTTATAAGATATGCAGGATAATGGAAGGACTCTGTAATAAGAAAATATCCAAGTACAGTCTATAGGGTCATTCTCTGTTCAATCTTGGAACAGAGCCCATCCATCGATACAGTCTCTCTCCTCTTCGCCAAAAGCCAAGGAATAAGTCGCTGTTTGCTATTAACACTTTCACAGGCCAACCTGTGTGACAACAAATGCGTTGTCCAACGCTCGGTTCTATCAGTCGTAACCTACACCTGTCTTTCTGCAGGTTGAAAAAACTGTCCTTACAAAAACATTGAGACTATGCTAGGATTTATTTGGGCATAAGCTTTCGTGGGTGAAAACCAAGCGGCTGACAGTGACTGTACTACAAAAGCACATGTTTAGGTTAACGCTAGCAAAATATAGGAAGTGTACATTTCTTCCAGTACACCTGCAGAAAATACAGACTGAAGGGTTTCATTTTATTCCCATTGAAGGACAGGTGTTTCAATTCAGTTCTGCTTTGAGTTCACTGCATTTTCTTAGACCAAATGAGAGAACACCCAGCATTCATTTTCAAACCCCACCTCCATGTCTAGCTGTGCTGTGTCCTCATGCCTATGAGTTCCTCAGGTTTTTCTCCTGAGCTATCCTTTTGGTAGCAACGGAGATTTGTTTGGCTTCTTCTTGGCCTCCAGCATAGTGCAAGGTATTATCCCAGCCTGCTGCTTTCTGGCATTATCCACAGGATTGCTGCCCTTGGGCACTTACATAGCATTTTAGTCCTGCTGCTATGAGGACTGCCTCGTTTCCCTATGTTTATTAGTGCCTTCTGCTTTTTTAATTAGTTACTTGTCTAAAGCACTGCACATTACAAAACTTCTTAGACTTCAGCGTTCAGGGCTGTAAAACCTAAGTTGGCCATTGGGAGTTGAAATGATGGCGCAGTCAGCACAATATCCCTAGAATAAACACTGAACAGGCTTTCCCTGTGCTTGTACAACTTACCGGTTTAATCACAATCAGGTCAATGTAGCCACACTAGCCATGGCGAATTGCAGTTTTGACCTTGTCCACACTAGGGATGTAAAGGACTAGTCAACAGGATAGTTGACTAGTTGCTCCCTGCCCCCCGCCCTCCCTGCCTCTGTCAGATAGAGGTGTAACCCATACACCTCGTGTTGTTCACTGTCCCATGCAGTGGCACCTGGACCAGAGCAACAGCTAAGATCAAGAGACCTCTACAGCATGGGCTGGAGCCATCTGGCTTTTAGCTCAGAGGGTAGAGGCTCCTATACTAAGCTCCAGAGGTCCCAGGTGGCGGTTACGGAGGCAACAAGGTGGGGGGGGGGAGAAAAAAGGGGTATTTAAAAGTGCATGGAGCCCAGGGTCAGCTATTCGGTGTGGCGCTGCCACTTAGATTCCTGTGGGGAGCCCGGCATCAGACTCCTCACAGCATTTCAAAGTGGCAGCACTGCATGGAGCCCGGGATCAGCTAGGGACTCCCCAGTTGACCCTGGGCTCCGTGCAGTGCTGCCACTTTGAAATGCCAGGTGGAGCCTGGGATCAGATGGGGACTCCCCAGCTGACCTCAGGCTTTGTGCAGTGTGAAAGCTTTGAAATGTACAAGAGTGAGTCCCCAGTGGGGGCTCTTGTGCATTTCAAACAGGAAGCGCAGTATGGAGCCTGGGGCCAGCATGAGACTCTTGAGTCCCCTGCTGACTCGAGGCTCCATGAGGGTGCTTCTGATTTGAAATGCATAAGAGTCCCTGCTGGGGCTCTTGTACATTTCAGAGGTAGAATGCGGAAGTGCTTGTCGAGTAGTCCAATGGAAATTCTGTCAACTACTCGACTAGCAAATTAATCGCTACTTAACATCCCTAGTCCACATTGCTCCTATTCTAAACCATTTTAGTTGCTGTGCCCTCTGGGCAGCTATTCTGCAATTTCTGGTGAAACTCCAGAAGCAATGCACGGTGGGAGATTTTGAAAGGCCAACAGTGTGTTGTGGGTTCACTAGTCTATGCCCATACTGCCACTAAAATAGTTCAGACTGAAAACATTATTTAATGTGGTTGTAAGCATGTCTAATCCAAATGGCGTTCTGCATGTTGCTAAGCCATCCTCCAGCATCAGGCCTGAAGATGTTCAAAAGATGCGTAGATGCTTGTGAAGCAGCCTTCGCTGCCCTGTTCTTGGCCCATCAGTAGCCTCAGTGAAGAATGACAAGACATCATGCTTGTTGTGATGCTGCAGTTCTGTGGAATCACACTTAGACCAACACTGTTGAATGGAAGTGAGCTGTGGGCACAGAAGAAAGCTGAAGAATATTGGAATGGTGTTTTCCATTGCATAAGAAAGGCCATAATGGATCTGAACAAACGTCCACCTAGCCTATTTTCCTGTCTTCTGACAGTGGCCAATGGCAGGTGCCCCAGAGGGAATGAACAGAACAGGTCTTCATGTGATCCATTCCCCCGTTGCCCAGACACAGAGAGGTTAGGGACACCATTCCTGCCCATCTTGCCTAATAGCTTTTCATGGCCCTATACAGTACTCCATGAATTTATCTAGTTCTCTTTGAGCCCTGCTGTAGTCTTAGTTGTCACAACCTTGTCTAGCAAGGAGTTCCGCAGGTTGACTGTGTGTTGTGTGAAGAGGTATTTCCTTTTTTATTATTATTATTTTATTTTTATTTAAACCTGCTACCTGTTAATTTCATTTGATGATTCTTGTCTTATGGGAAGAAGAAAATAACTCCTCTTCGTTTACTTTTCCCACACCAGTCATGATTTTATAGACCTCAGTCTTATCCCCCTTAGTCATCTTGTGATCTCTGTCCACTTCTCCGTATCAAGTGGCAAAACAAGTTCAGAAATGAGGATATTAAAAGCTGAGCCAGCAGCAATCTCCACCAGCAGTGGCATTCTTGGCCTCAACATATTATTAGACAGGAAGACCAACCAATGGCAGAGTGGGTAGTAAAGAATGCTGCTACTTGGCCAGCAATTCTATGTTTGCCAAAATACTCAATGATGTAACAAGATTGCCAGGGATGGACTTAAAACAAATATACAATCACATCATCTTTAGCACATTGCCAGAGATTAACCCTCATGGCAGTTTTCCAAGAGGCCATGCCCCATGCTGATATTAAACTGTTTGGGGCATCTATGTCTATGGATGTCAGGTGTTAGAAGCTTGCTATCGGAGGGATAATGAAAGGTATCTTTACACATCATAGAGAACCAAAACAAAAGGGCAATGTGGGCCTTCAAGGTTTCCTCCCACTTTGATTTTTACTTTAGAACTATCAGAACATTTTGCATATCCTGAGGATTAGATTCATCTAAACTCCAAGGAGGGTGGTGAATGATTTGGAGAGACCAGGCTAAAAGGGGACCAGTACAACAGTGTTATAGCAGAGAGTATTTGGGTGCTTTGGTCACTTGTGGTAGTTAATTGGATTGCTAGTGTTTTCTCATTTTAATGTGTGTGGAACTATATTAAAGACCCAAATAAACATGAAATTAAGGTTTTGGCAAAGGTACAGACGTCTAGAAACGGTTTTCAGTTACATGTATTTAATAAAGCATTTAAAACATGAAATGCCCCATGTAGGAGTTGTAGAAAGCTGCTGTTTCTACCACATGCCATGGTTTCTTTCTCTTTTCTCCAGGAACCCCGGTTTGGTTCTACATGCAAATTGCACCTATAAGAAACGAACATGAAAAAGTGGTTTTATTTCTGTGCACTTTTAAAGATATCACTTTGTTCAAACAACCAATTGAAGATGATTCAACAAAAGGTAATTTTGGAAATATATTTATTATTGTTAAAATACACATCTTGAAGTTGAATCTCAGAGGAGAAGCAAACTATGAATATGAAATATTTCTTGGCTTCAGGAAATAATTAGCAATATGCAAGAATTCTTGCATCATTCTGCTATATGTGTGGTATAAAACTCTAAAATCAAGTACTATGTATATAACATTCACTAAGAGATGCTGCAGCTGTCCCTAGACTTGGTATATCTTTTTTTTGGCCGGGGGAGGAAGGGGCGGGGGAGGATGGGAAGAGGGGAGAGTATGGTTTCACCAATTGTTTCAGCACAGCTAGATTTTGCTTACGTTAAAAACTAGTATTACTTTTGGCCATAATTAGCCATTTTCAATCATTTGTTAAATTTTACTGTTTATGGGGATTGAAAATTAAATAGCTTTCCCTAGAGAGATTATAATTTTCTATTTAGTAAATACTGGGGGGTTTTTTATGTTGAAGGTGAAGTTACAATGAAACGGACCATTTTGCTTGTTCTTTGTTTGTTTGCCAACAATGAAATCTGCATAGCTAGTTGTTGTGTTTACTTGTTAAGAGCAGCTGCAGATGGTGTTCATTTGGATGTGCAGTGGGCCTATTCAAATAAACACCCAGAGCCAGATCCTCATCTTTGTCCAGGACAGCTACTGGAAAGGGTGAAAAGGACCTGTTTATATAGTTTTCCTTGATCCCGAGGCATATTCTGTACTTGGTTAAGGGAATTAATATTTTGTTGCATGCACGTCCAAGATTTGCTTTGAATTTGCTTATTGTTTATTTATTTCTCACCTTTCTCCCCAAACTTGGCAAAGTCTGTGTTCTCAAGGAGAGCTATGCATACAAAAAGCTTTAAAGAGAAACTCTGGGTATCATCCCAGCTCTAAATGATTTTCCTGCAGTGAGGATAACATCTGATTATCCATGCTCAGGTAACTCAAAAGATACTGAATTTATTTGTCAAGCTCTCTGGAGAGGCTCATGAACACGTATGTCAACCTCTAGGCAAACTGTCAAGTAACCAGACACAAACATCTATGTTCTGTTACTAGATTTCACCAACTAAGTAACAAGTATGAACTCTTCAGACACTGTAACAGCCTTAACATGGAGTCCCAGAGGTAAAGAAATGGATTTCAGCTTTTTGGGTTCTGTACAAAAACAAAGCACCAACCTATCATTAATCTACTATCTGTTTTGTCACCCAGGCAAACCTGCCTTTGTGAATGATGGTCCCTTGCACCAAAAATCACAATGTTCAAGTTACTCCCAGTCCCAAAGGACCAGTAACTTTCCCCAGGTCATTTGTACCTTAAATCGCTCATCAAACACTATGCTTGTTGCTAATCCTATATTAAACTAAGTACTAGGGAAAAGAAATGAGTTATTTAGAAGGTCAACACAAGTAGACCTAAATAAGTTACAGTCTCAAATATCAAAAGATATAGATGTTGCTGTAATATGCAATATCTTTGCATCCTTGAAGGCTAACCCAGTCTAAGCAGCTTAGGGATCCTTTGTTTATGCTTAGAAAGTGTTTCTTGACACAGATTTTTATTCCCTTCCCCCAGAGCTCAAATTGATGAGATGAGGTTTTGTGCACATTTCCATTTCATGGATTTTTTTTGGGAGATGGGAGGGGTGGGTTAGGGGGAGGGGGCGGAGAAGGGGGAGAGAGAAGGGCAGATGATGTTCCACAATGGCTGGTCTGATACTCATAGGCCTTCTTTTATTGGGCAGGAGATGACCTCCCTTAACCTAAACTAGGATTTTCATACTTGGTATTTTTTTCTCTTTTTATGGGGTGGGTTTAAAGTTTTAAAGCGAACATTTTTGTAGTTACAAAGCAAACACTTACAACATCTGTATTCTATGATATAAGGTAAGTGGGTTTAACATGCAGCAGTGTATAAGCATTTCATAAATTCTAAACTCTAAATAAATTCTTATAACTTTACTATCTATTTTGCCAATATTAACACACGGCTGGGCCAGACTGATTGCCTGCTATGAATATGTCAGTTTTCAGTGAGGCTTGGGGCTCTGGCATGAGTTGGCACCTGTTCTGCCAGTATTTACTTCAAACTCTGAGGAAACAAGCAAATAAATATATAATTTTAAAAATACATCTTTGAGCTAAGACCAAGTATGAGAAATTTCTGCCTAGAGATGAATTCTTTGTAAAGTGTAAGTGCATGAACACCTGAAATGGAAATGCCTTCTCAGCCATAGCTGTTGCTGCCACTACAGTGGAATTAGTATCTCCACTAATGTTTCTTTGTTACACAATAAACTCCATGGTGTGAAACATGCACATGACCAGTGCTTCAGCCCAGAAAACAATTTCCTGAAACTTTCAAGGTAAATTCCAGCTAATTAAAATAACTTATTAATTCTTCAGGTGTAATAATATGGGGACAAATCCTTCTTGTCCCTCCTCCTTCTTTGAGAGTGTGGGGCTTGCCCTTCATGCATGCCCTTCATGCAATCATCCCTCAAGCTCTGCCTGTCTACAGGGTGCTGCATTAGGGATGGAGGGAGGCCCTGTGTCACTCTCTTGCTGCACAGGTCCAATGGCACTGTTATCAAGATCTCCCCTGGTGGTTGTTGCTTAGGCAAGGACTGCTAAAGAGGAATCCCAACCAGAGCAATGATATTAGCTCAGATTGTATGAAACCCCGGTGGAGTTGATAATCTCCATCTCCTGCCCTTGCTTGTTGTTGAGCTGTCTACTTCCCAGCCCCAGTTAACCCATTGCCTGCCTGTCCCCTTGTATAGATCCTTGCAGAGTGCTTGTTAGGAAAGGGAGAAGGTGGATGGTGTAATGATGGTGGCTGAACCCTCTTTCGCCCCAGTCTGGGGGCTGTGGTAGAACCCATCATAGGGTTGCCAGGTGTCTGGCTTTTGTCCCCAGAAAATACCGGACATGTAAAATGTTTTTCTTGGACAGAAGGCCGCTTGGGACATTATTCCCCAGCCACGTCTGGTGGGGGCAGGTGGAGCGCTGTGACTCTTTTTAAAGAGTGCTGTGACTCTGTGTGTGGGGTTTGTTTGTTTTTTCTCAACAGCTTTGGTCCGTGTGTGTGTGTGTGTGTGTGTGTGTGTGTGTGTGTGTGTGTGTGTGGTTTTCCCAACCAATTTTCCCCCTGCCATGTTCAGAGTTTCACAAAAAATAATCTGGCAACCCTAAATTCATTTGGCTTCCACTTCAGTGATATATGTTGGTAGGGGGAAATGTTAAGAACTTGTGAACATTCTGTCTGTTGCTGCTGTCTGAAATGGGAGGGTGTCATTATTTTCAAATGACAATTATGACATGTAGGCACCATTATAAAACATTGCAGGAAAGCTGGCTGAGATCGTAGCCGGCAAGTTTTAAAAACACACTTCTGTAAACCTATTTTCTGGGGACGGAGAGGTAGAAGTCTAACAGCAATCGATCAGAGTACTTTGTGTAAAATAGCAAATGGCAAGTCTGACAGCCCCACATCATCGGCCTGATATTCCTCTCAGTTATGCTGATGTAAATCAGGAGGAGCGCCCTACATTTTTTTTATACATTTCTTTCTCAAAATATAAAATAAATGTTGGCATCAGAATGTGAGGGAGAGGAAACCAGCACTGTTGCATTGCCTTTTGTGCCTCAAATGAATGAGGCCATGTTATCCCACTGCATTGGAATTACAGCACTACTTTGTCAGAGGTAGTGCTATAGAATATGCATAATTCATTTGTCTTGCAGATAACATCATAGTATGCTCACATCCTCTCAGAGCACTTTAGTTTTGAATTATGGGCTTGATATATAAATTACAATTTACTGGGAAATTTAGAAGCATTTATGAAAAGCACTACGATAAAACACTGCTTTAAAGTACTAGAATTTGTTGTTAAAAGAGCTTATTTAAAAAAAAAAAGACTTTTTTGTTTTGAGAGACTACCAGGGCTATGAATATATATAACATATAAGTGAAACACATGCACAATGTAACTGTGAATGGTGTATTTGAGTTATGGTCTATTATTTAAGATGTCTATTTCATTTAAGATGAAAAATTCAACAGCAATAAAATATTGATGCCATTATATACTAATCCGGCCATACAATGTATTCTGCAGTATCGGCAAGTATATTGCCAGATCCTAGAGCTATAATATATCACACTCCTGCAAAGCCCAAAGAGTGTTTAAAATAATAACAATTAGAAGTGACTCAGGAGATAGGCTAGGATACAGAATCTTTCCCTTCAAGGTCTTTGGCTTCAATGTGACCCAGATGGATGGGTTGCCAAAAAGCATCTCCTTGGTTTTGGTGGCTTCAGTCCAGTTTCTAGTGGGAAAATGTCCACCTCACAAAAATCGTCATTGCAGCTGGCACTTCTTTCGGCAGTCTGAGCAAGGATGGAGGATTAGTTATTGATTCCTCTAGGCCTGAATTTTACACTTATAAGTTTCCATTGGTGCTGCCAGAGTTGTATGTGTGTTGTTGGTAAACCCAGGGCTTAAGTTTTTAGGGCTGTAGTGCCTTCCACAAAAACTAAATTCACATATAAGAATCTGGAAATGCTAGTTAAAGGAATATTCCTGATAGAAGTATACATGTTCCATATAGGGTTGCCAGGTGTCCGGTATTCACCTGGACAGTCCGGTATTTTTGGCTCCTGTCCAGTAAAAAATTCAGAGAATACTGGACGCCTAAAATGTCTGGTATTTTCTGAATTTTTCCCCGTCCAGGATAAATGGTCTCTTTCTCCTCCCCCAGCCCCCCCTTTGGTCTCCCTTTGGTCTCCCTTCAACACTATTTGGGGGGTGGTTGTTTGGTATTTTTGTTTTGACCATCTGGCAACCTTAGTTCCATATACAACCCAAAAACACATTAACAATCTATAAATCTCTTGCAGTTAATGTTTAATAAAAGAATAAATCCATTGAAAGAAAATCTAATCCACCAAGAGGTACAATTAAAATAATTGATGTAAGAGTTACATA